AATATTATTGTGGCTTTGTAAAATACATGTTTATGGGGATTGTAATGTGCAAGCAAACCTTGGGTGATTGTTGAATTTATACATTTCCATAAAGCTAACATATGACAAAAATTGAATACTAAATATCAATTAGTAAATATGTGAGCATTATTATTTAAAATTAGAGGCCCGGTGCACAATATTCATGCAGGAGTGGGGTCTCCCTCAGCCCAGCCTGCACCCTCTCCAATCTGGGACCCCTCTCACAATCCAGGACTGCTGGCTCCCAGCTGCTAGCCAGCCTGCCTTCTTGATTGCCCCTACCTGCTTCTGGCTGCCAGCCTGATCACCCCCTAACCACTCCCCTGGCACCTGATCAATGCCTAACAGCTCCCCTGCTGGCCCAATTGCCCCCAACTGCCATCCCTTGCTGTGCTACTTGAAATCACTAAACAGGAGTATATCAGTAATCACTTCCTAGTAAAACAGATTTCAATTTATTATTTTCTCATTCTCTTTGTTGCTAACTTCACATTAATGTCTTACTACAGACTTTGTGTCTATAACAGATTTTATTAAGAGATTTAAATAGACTATAAACTCTATAACAATTTACATATGTATTTTTGTATATCAAGTTTAGATTAGCTATGTATATATAACTGGTCACCCCTAACTGCCCTCCCCTGCAGGCCTGGTCCCTCACAACTGCCCTCCTCTGCTGGCCTGGTCACCCCTAACTTCCTTTCCTTGAAGGCTTGACTGCCCCCAACTGCCCTCCCCTGCTGGCTTGATCACCAACAACTGCCCTCCCCTGCAGGCCTGATCCCTCCCAACTGCCCTCCCTGCTGGCCATCTTGTAGTGGCCATCTTGTGTCCACATGGGGGCAGCCATCTTGTGCGTTGGAGTGATGGTCAATCTGCATATATTACTCTTTTATTAGACAGGATGTGTTAACGTGTTCAGCTTTTGTGACTCTGATTATCATATGGCATACCATTTTATCTATGCAGCTATGATATAAACTGGTCAATGTGAAAAGCCACGGACTTTGATCCAAATAATCTATAGCATGTTCATCACTGTCACCACATAGTTTTATGCCTTCTGAGCTTGTATTCTTGTAATCTATAAAATGACATACAGATTGAGATTAGATATGTAAAACAGTTTGGGGAACAATATGGCACTATTAAATTTTATATATTTTATAATAAGAATAAGTTACATTAATATTTATCATGTTAAAGAACATAAATGTTTCTATGCCAAAATAAAACATTAGCAAGTAATTTATTTTTTCAAAGTATATTTTTCTTGTATTCAAAGCAGAGGAGGTAAGAGAGGTCATCTATTATAGTAAAGATGTTTTATGATAAAATTCTAGTTTAGTGCTATTTACCACATAGATTCATAATATTTTGCACATTATGTCAAGGTTTTTCTCCTCCCTTCAAGGCCTATCTAGACATTGTTTTTTGTACATATAATTGAAAACAATAAAAATATTGCTTTACTACCCATCTTTCACTTAAAGGCATCTGAAACAAATCTCTTCAAATGTGCTCCTACTCAGCTTTTGGTGAAGATGGTTGGATACTGTTAATGAAAAAGAAAAAAAAAAAAAACACACATTGAAACCTGTAAAGAATTTTTGTGAATTTATTTGATCCGAACTGTTGACATATGCTGGGAAACAGAACATCAATGAATTGAGATAATGCTCTGGAGAATGGCTGGTTATATCTGCATTTATACATAGCAATCAAAGGAGAGACGTAGGTGGGTTACATGAAATTCAGTGGTGATAGATTAAGGAGGTGGGTAGTAAAGCAATATTTTTATTGTTTTAAAGCAAAGTGGGGAAACCCCTGGGATTGGATAAAAAGTAAAATGATAGACACAACCTGAGGTGGGTGCAGGAACAATGAACATGATAAGTAATGTGTGGTATCTGTCCTGGTGCCTACCATGTTTGGTTGTGCCCCAGGGGCTCCAGAAAAGCTAAAGTTACAAGTTACCCAGATATTTCTGGGGTATGTTAAATTAGATGCAAAAACACATAGGCTCAGTTAAGGTAAAGATTGACCTTGTCAGTGAAGATACAGTCTAGGACATAACTGCCCACCATAATTGCTTTTAGTTAAAGTTTAATTTCAGACCATCTTTTGTGGTTACTTTAGGTCTCTCAGTTTGCAAGGCTGCCATGCAGGCTTTCCCTGAACTTGTCAGATCAGCATGTGACCCCTTTAGTCCACAATATGTTTTAAAAACATCTAAATGAATGCTTTTAAATGACCCACATACTGTCTGTCTCCCATGTCTGACAGGATATACATGCACATGTAGGAAAAATAAGTGGAATCGCAAAGAAGGTCATTAACATTTATTTTGCAAATGGAACTCAACTCATGATCACTAGCACAATTGTACATAATTACACACACACACACACACACACACACACACACACACACACACACACACACACCTGGCAACTTTATCTTGAGACTGCTGGCTTCTCTAGTGAAGGAGTAAAATGGCCCTTTTTTCCTTTCCCCTTTTCCCCTCCCTTTCTGCATTATCTCATTAAGGAGGTTTTCAAAGCATTTGCCCTGTGTCCTTGCCTGAGACAGATAATGGCTTGTTAGTTACAAGCTGGCTGCAAACTGCCCACACTCTTTGGCCTTGTTTTAACTTTCATGTCAGTTTCCCCATTTGTCCTGCCCTGGAATCCTGTAACAGTGTTAGCTGGCTCCAATAGTCATGTCTGTATTTCCTCTTTCCTTTCATCCCTTGCCCTGTCTGCCTAATCCTGTTTCTAACTCCTCTCATCCAGGGCAAATTAAGTTGGAGAACCCAGGTTCCACTATTTTGATACAGAATTTTTGGACTGGAAAACGTGATGTTCCCTTTGACTGGAACATGGATTCTTTGTCCGCCAGAGTCCACAGACAAAGGGTAATAGAGCAAAGGTGGAGATTTTTTGAAGAACAAGTACAGACTCCCACTTGGGGAGGGGAAAAGAGTCCCACTGAGTTTCTGTTCCTACAGCTTATAAAGGCTGCATATCCTGGTGCCTTAATATCTTCTCTGATTGGTCAACATTCCCCTAGACTGGTTACTATAGTAACCTCTGAGTTCTAAGGTGGAAACTTCCTCCCCACTCCTTCTTTATTGTTTTCGTATTCCCTTTAGGTTTTCTTCTTCTGGATGAAGGGCTTCTCTTTATTTTGTAAATTTAGATCTCTGCTGTTCCCAGCGCCCCATTCTATGGAAATGTACCAATTGCAGCTTTTCAGCTGCCCCATTCTATGGAAATATACCTTGGCTGCTCTACAGCCCTGTGTTTCTTCCATGGTCCTCTAAAACTTCTAGAATTTCCTAAAACCTATCTTTTTCACCCCCAAAAGTTCCTGTTTAATATTATCTATTTTATATATTCATACTTGTGCTATATTATCGATATATGGATAATACTGATATTTTACCACATATGTAGCAGCCTGTGGGAGTAATACTAATACATAAAAAGCATTTTTGTGATGCTAAATACAATTTTCTCATCTATGAAAAGTTTAGGTTCATTTTTCCACTGATATCTCTTAGGTTGCTTAAGAGTATCTACTTATGGGTTAATAATGTGCTTTAAAGATAAGCAGATATTCTTAGTACATGGATTCATTTGTCATAGGAAAGCAATCCTATATAATAAAGGGGTAATATACAAATTGACCAACACACAAGATCATTTATTTACGATAAATCAAGATTATTTATTTTAATGTCCATTTGACACAATATTAATTTTTAACCTAGGAAAAAATAATTTTCAGAAGTGTGAGTTCTGTGGAGTTGATTCTTAATAATTTTCCTCTCTGCCTGACCTGAGTTGAGCTTTGACCTATGAACCAGGATCACATAATTGGGCATACAGGAGGCAGCCAATCAATGTTTCTCTTTCATCATTAATGTTTCTATCTCTTTCTACCTCTCCCTTCCTTTCTGCAATCAATAAAAATATATTTAAAAAATAGTAATCCCTGCCGAAACCGGTTTGGCTCAGTGGGTAGAGCGTCGGTCTGCAGACTGAAAGGTCCCAGGTTAGATTCCGTTCAAGGGCATGTACATTGGTTGCGGGCACATTCCCAGTAAGGGGTGTGCAGGAGGCAGTTGGTCGATGTTTCTGACTCTTTATCCCTATCTCTTCCTCTCTGTAAAAAAAAAAAAAAATCAATAAAAATATTTTTTTAAAAATAGTAATCCCTCCCCCCTAAACTCTTAGTATAAGAAGTCCTTGGGGATTTTCCTCTTGAGTATTTATATGTAACCCATGAAGAGTATTATTTGCATTTTAAGTTGAAATTTCCTGACTTTTAAATGAAAAGAAGTACTAAAATGTTTGGAGTTGTGAGGTCCCCTTTCTTTAAAGCATCACATAATTACTGATCAAATATTTGTTAAGCTATTAATTTGTCCAAACAATGTGTTAAGTTCAGGGAAGCAAGAATAACTAAGTCATGCTGCTGATAATCAAGAAACCTCTCCTACCTCTCCTATAATTGGAAGAGGCTTTGGTAGGGGCCCATGTTAGACTAAGCAGGTATTGCAAAGGAGAGAAAAATCATTTCTACATGGGCTGGGTGTGAGGTTTAAGAAGAAAGGCTCATGAATACTTTTTCAGAAGAAATGATAGGTAATAGACTTTTAATTATACTACAGTATCTATTATAGGAGAATAAATATTTCATTTATTTAGAAGAGACTATTGTTTTATAATACAGTTATATGATATTTGGAAGAATGTGGAATTGACCATATCAATTATTTTTCAGATTTCATTTTAGTTTTAATATATAATACCAACATCACTCATGTTTAATTTTGTATGCCGATTAATTTACTAATATATATATATATAATAATACTAATATGTAATAATTAAGTTACTTAATTATAAAACATAAATGTATTCAAAATTGCTTCTGAACTCTTAATTTTTTAAAATTTTCCATTGTAGATGAAAGAGAAGATGTTCAAAAGAAAACATTCACAAAATGGATAAATGTACAATTTTCTAAGGTAAGGATATTTTGTTACTTCTCTTTTTAAGATATATGTTGCTGAATATTCAAAATGACCTACATATCTGTGTGTAATTTAAATGTCCATATTGTTTTTCCATAGTGTCCTTTTATTTTAGCTGTGCAAATTTTGGCATAAATATTGACTTTAAATTAAGGAAAGTACAGCAGAATATATGGTAAAGAGAAATTATTTAATTTGATGAAGTGTATCTTTGGTTGTTCTTGATAATGTGAGTTTCTTTAATGATATCAGTTATTAGAGGATTTTAATATCCATTTTCCATCAAGTAGCTAGTATATGTCACAGATTAGAAGACATTAGGGATTTTCATTATTCTGAAATTATCATGTTTTTTTTGTGTCTTTCTTGGTCTTTACCAAATTCAAGAAAAACTGATATAACTTGACTCTATTTGGCCCTACCACTTAGAGCATATGTCAAATAATTTAAGATGATAAGTTTATACTCTTTTTCTGCAGGCATCAATCCATACTCTCAATAACATATATTTATTTTACAATTAGGACTCAACTCATGATCAATAGCATGAATCTTGATAATTATATATGAACACAGAGTAAAATGTTTACCTTGAAAACTAGCATTAAGAGTGCAACATGAGGAGGTTTGTGTGGATTTTAAGGTTATAAAGACTTGCATTTAAATTTAATAATTCTGGGAGTACCAAGATGACGGCATAGGTAAATGCCAGTACTCACGGCCTCCATCAATCACATCAAAATTACAACTAAAATACAGAACATTCATCATGCAGAATCTCTTGAAATCAGGCTGAGTGGAAATCCTACTAGTCATTGGAGAGATGCAAATAAAAACAACAATGAGGTGTCATTTCACACCTGTCAGAATGGCTATCATCAACAAATCAACAAACTATAAGTGCTAGAGTTGATGTGGAGAAAAAAGAACCCTCTTGCACTGCTGTGAAAATGCAGACTGGTGAAGCCATTGTGGAGAATATTATGGAGTTTCCTCAAAAATCTAAAAATTAAACTTCCATTTGACCCAGTAATCCCACTTCTAGGTATATCTCAAGAAAACAGAAACACCAATCAGAAAGGATATATGCACCCCTATGTTCATTGCAGCACAATTTACCATAGCTAAGATTTGGAAACAGCCTAAGTGCCCATCAGCAGATGAGTGGATTAAAAAACAGTGGTACATCTAAGCAATGGAATACTACACTGTGATAAAAAAGAAGGGGTTCTTACCATTTGCAACAGCAAGGATGGAACTGGAGAGGATTATGCTAAGCAAAATAAACCAGTCAGAGAAAGATAAATATCACATGATCTCACTCATTTGTGGAATATAAAGAACATTATAGACTGAGGAACAAAAATAGATACAGAGACATAGAAGTATCTAACAGGCTGTAAAACTACAACGGAAAGGCAGGAGAGGATTGGGGGTGGGGTGTAAGAGATCAACCAAAGGACTTGTATACATGCATATAAGCATAATCAATTGACACTGACACTGGGTGTGGGGTGGGGGCATGTGCTGGGTAGGGGGGAGGACAATGGGGGATAAAGGAGACATATGTACTACTATTTGTAATACTTTAAACAATAAAAATAAATAAAGAAGAAAAGAATAAAGCACATTGAGACTGGTAGGAGGGAAGGGAGGCACAGAATGAGCTGGTCCAATCCCAAGTGTGGTTCTTTTTAATGGGGAGCTATACCTCCAAGGCCTCCCCTGAGAAACAGGGTTCCCAGCCCCACACCAGACCACTAGCCCAGAATCCCAGAGCTGGGAAGAGAAGTTCCCATAATTTCAGCTGTAAAATCCAGTGAGGAATATGGTTGAGTGATACTACAGAGGCTACTGGAGTCCCAGATGTTCCTCTTAAAAAGCCCTTGCATGAACTTATATGGTCCCACATACTCTGAGCTCCAGCACGAGGTGGCAGGTTTGAGGGAATGCAGAAACATAAGGGGAGGAGCTGGACTGTCTGGCATCAGAGAAGGAACTTGGAGATGGCTATCTCCCAGAAAAGGTACTCACAGGTATCATTGTTCCTGTAATGGGACCTCCCCTATCACAGAGCTGACTGGCAGCCATATCTGAGTTTCCATTAGCATGACCCACACTGTGTTCTCTGCTCTGCTGAATCCCTGAGACCCCATGCCATCTAATTTGTAGCTCTACCCAAACTGCTTATAGCTGCTTTCCATATGAATGGACTGTCCTGGCTCAGGCTTCAGACTTTGCTAAAATCTCTTACACAAGAAGCAGCTGGCAACAGCATGCTAGAAACCTATCAATGAAGCTTTGAGACATGGCACGAGCACCAGCCTGCCTTGCTTCACTGCTGGGCCTTGCCTGGGCACTTCCTAATCTAATACAAGTAGAAGCCATCTACAGATTTCTTTGTAGCTCTTTCTGTGTGGCTCCAGACAATGGCTTACTTTTCACCTCCTTGGAGGCTCTAGAACTAGTGTACCCAGTGGACAGCTTCAGACCATATGAGATTACAACTCTACACATACACAAATGACACATTAAGGGACAGACTCAGTGAACACCAATGCCCCACTGAAACAAGTCCTGCTCCATAGGGCAGTTCTTCCATTGTAGATGCAGCTGGTCCTCACAGCCAATTTATCTGGAAGTCAATTCCTCCCAAAGATGCCACTGGAAATCAAGGCTCAACTACAATAAGACTGTGCACACAGACCACACAGAGGCACACCTAGAGAGCCCATCTCAGGTGACTGGAGAAGCTGAGCCATTGGATCCTACAGGACACCCTATTATACAAGGGCACTCTACCAATTCCAGGAGACATAGAAGCTCTACATAATACATAGAAACAAACATAGGAAAACAACCAAATGGGGAGACAAAGGAAACATGTCACAAATGAAAGAAAGGGAACCAAGCAAACTACTGGATACAATGTCTGAAACAATAGTTATCAGGTTACTCAAGGATCTTAATGAGAGTTTCGAGGGACTTAATGAGAGCTTCAAAGGACTTAGTGAGACATTCCAGGCTCTTAGTGAAAATGTCAAAGACATGTAAAATGTTAAGCATACACTAACTGAAATAAAGAATAATTTATAGGGGCTCAACAGTAGACTCTGGGAATCAAATAAAAATTTTAGAATATGAAAAAGCAAAAAAAAAACACCCAATCAAAAGAGCAAAAAGAAGAAATACCAATATATTGAGAACCTATTTGAAGAAATAATGACAGAAAACTTCCCCCTCCTGGTGAAAGAAATGGGCTTATAAATCCAGGAATCCCAGAGAGTCCCAAACAAGAGAAACCCAAAGAATCCCACACCAAGACATCCAATGCCAAGAGTGAAAGACCAAGAAAGCATCTTAAATGCAGTAAGAAAAAAACAGTTAGTTGCCTACAAGGGAGTGGCCATACAACTGTCAGATGATTTCTCAACAGAAATTTTGCAGGCCAGAAAGGAGGGGCAAGAAATATTCAAATATTCAATAGCAAGAACCTACAACCAAAATTTTTCTACCCAGAAAAGCTATCATTTAGAATTGAAGGTCAGATATAGAGCTTCACAGACAAGAAATAGTTAAAGGAGTTCATCACCACCAAATCAGTATTACATGAAATGCTGATGGGTATTATTTGAGAAGAGGAAGAGGAAGAAGAAAAATAAAGAAGAATATCAATAATATGAACAATAAAATGGCAATAAACACATATCTATCAACAATTGAATCTAAAAATCAAAATAAATGAACAAGAAATCTAATGAATAAAATAAAATCATGGGACAAACTGACTAATCTCAGAGGGAAGGAGTGAGGTGGGTGTGGGAAGAGATTAACCAAAGACCTTATATGCATCTATGCATTACCTATGAACACAGACAATAGGGTAGTGAAGGCCTGGGGCAGGGTGGGAACCGGGTAGAGGAAGACATTGGGGGGGGAGGGGGGAAAGAGGGAACATCTATAATAATCTCAACAATAAAGATTAAAAATAAATAACTAAAAATAAAACTAGTAATTCTGGATTTGGGAAAACCAAATGCTTTGAGTCAGTTTCCTCATCTTTCCATCATGTATGTGTGTATACATGCATATTGTGTAATAGGAATAGAAAGGTATTAAAATACAGTGCTCTATGCAAGGCTGTAAGTGGTTATTTTGTATGTTATTGTGATGATTAAGAGTTACTATGATACAGATTTTTCTGTTAAGGTCTAAGTTCATTGTCTCAAGAAACCAAAGAAAGAGTTCACAGACAAAGAGAAGAACAAAAGCAGTATTATTACAGAAAATCTCCCTGCTGCAGGGAGGGGACCCAAGTGGGTTGCTGCAGAAGTTTCTTTGTCTAGGGGTTAATAGGTGCCCTGCAAACTTTCCATTGATTGATCTGAAAACTTCGGCCCTAACAACATCCATACATTTTACATTTCAGGATTCCCATTCATTTTCCCTGCCCTGTGTGTCCAGCCCATGACCAGGGCCCTTTGTTCTTGTGATTTTACATGGGACAGGGTGTGGGACAAACTGGTTCCTGCTCAGGCCTGCAGAATTCAACTGCATTTCTCTTTTGCATTTCTCTCCCCACAGTCCCTAACTGCCTAGCCACTTCTAAGTCTTCAACTATATGTAAAAACTCCTAACACAATGCCTGATTCTCTTAATATATATGAATTTCTCATGAGTCTGTCTCATTTTGTAGAAATCTTAGTAATGGATCCAAAACAATCCACTGGGAGATATGATCTAAATAGTGCTCTCTTAACTGTCGCAAAATATTTGAGTATCATCCATTTGTTACAGAAAACCAAAGAAGAACAAAGCAATACTTAGAGAGATGGAGTTACATTTATTATGCGCGGGTCCAGAGGAAAATGTATCTCAAATTCTGGGCCCCAACATGTAGGAATTCTCCCTATTTATATGATTTTACCATCTTTGTCTCCCAAATAAGGATAGTTTCCAGCAAATTCCGCTTGTATTTACTTTTTGAATTAATA